AAACCTACTGTGCATTAAAGAATTATACGTTGGTTCAGTTTAAGGTGTTATGAGGGACAATTTCATAACAAACCCACTGTGCATTCAAAATTTATACGTTCGTTCAGTTTAAAATGTTAGGAGGGACAATTTCATAACAAACCTATTGAGCATTAAAGAATTATACGTTCGTTCAGTTACTGTGACTTAAGGTGTTATGAGGGACAATTTCATAACAAACCTACTGTGCATTAAAGAAATATACGTTCGTTCAGTTTAAAGTGTTATGAGGGACAATTTCATAACAAACCTACTGTGCATTAAAGAATTATACGTTGGTTCAGTTTAAAGTGTTATGAGGGACAATTCCATAACAAACCTACTGTGCATTAAAGAATTATACGTTGGTTCAGTTTAAGGTGTTATGAGGGACAATTTCATAAAAAAAACTACTGTGCATTAAAGAATTATACGTTGGTTCAGTTTAAAGTGTTATGAGGGACAATTTCATAACAAACCCACTGTGCATTAAAGAATTATACGTTCGTTCAGTTACTGTGATTTAAGGTGTTATGAGGGACACTTTCATAACAAACCTACTTTGCATTAAAGAATTATATGTTCGTTCAGTAACTGTGATTTAAGGTGTTATGAGGGACAATTTCATAACAAACCTACTGTGCATTAAAGAATTATACGTTGGTTCAGTTTAAAGTGTTATGAGGGACAATTTCATAACAAACCCACTGTGCATTAAAGAATTATACGTTGGTTCAGTTTAAAGTGTTATGAGGGACAATTTCATAACAAACCCACTGTGCATTAAAGAATTATACGTTCGTTCAGTTTAAATTGTTATGTGGGACAATTTCATAACAAACCCACTGTGCATTAAAGAATTATACGTTGGTTCAGTTTAAAGTGTTATGCGGGACAATTTCATAACAAACCCACTGTGCAATAAAGAATTATACGTTCGTTCAGTTACTGTGATTTAAGGTGTTATGAGGGACAATTTCATAACAAACCTACTGTGCATTAAAGAAATATACGTTTGTTCAGTTTAAAGTGTTATGGGGGACAATTTCATAACAAACCCACTGTGCATTAAAGAATTATACGTTCGTTCAGTTTAAAGTGTTATGAGGGACAATTTCATAACAAACCCACTGTGCATTAAAGAAATATACGTTCGTTCAGTTTAAATTGTTATGTGGGACAATTTCATAAAAAAAACTACTGTGCATTAAAGAATTATACGTTGGTTCAGTTTAAAGTGTTATGCGGGACAATTTCATAACAAACCCACTGCGCAATAAAGAATTATACGTTCGTTCAGTTACTGTGATTTAAGGTGTTATGAGGGACAATTTCATAACAAACCTACTGTGCATTAAAGAATTATACGTTCGTTCAGTTACTGTGATTTAAGGTGTTATGAGGGACAATTTCATAACAAGCCTACTGTGCATTGAAGAATTATACGTTGGTTCAGTTACTGTAAATTAAGGTTTTTTGAGGGACAATTTTATTAAAAAACCTTCTGTGCATTAAACAAATATACGTTCGTTCAGTTTAAAGTATAATGAGGGACAATTTCATAACAAACCTACTGAGCATTAAAGAATTATACGTTCGTTCAGTTACTGTGATTTAAGGTGTTATGAGGGACAATTTCATAACAAACCTACTGTGCATTAAAGAATTATACGTTGGTTCAGTTTAAAGTGTTATGAGGGACAATTTCATAACAAACCCACTGTGCATTAAAGAAATATACGTTCGTTCAGTTTAAAGTGTTATGAGGGACAATTTCATAACAAAGCTACTGTGCATTAAAGAAATATACGTTCGTTCAGTTTAAAGTGTTATGAGGGACAATTTCATAACAAACCTATTGTGCATTAAAGAATTATACGTTGTTCAGTTACTGTGATTTAAGGTGTTATGAGGGACAATTTCATAACAAGCCTACTGTGCATTGAAGAATTATACGTTGGTTCAGTTACTGTAAATTAAGGTTTTTTGAGGGGCAATTTTATTAAAAAACCTTCTGTGCATTAAACAAATATACGTTCGTTCAGTTTAAAGTGTAATGAGGGACAATTTCATAACAAACCTACTGAGCATTAAAGAAATATACGTTCGTTCAGTTACTGTGATTTAAGGTGTTATAAGGGACAATTTTATAACAAACCTACTGTGCATTAAAGAATTATACGTTGGTTCAGTTACTGTGATAAAAGGTGTTATGAAGGACAATTTCATAATCTTCTGTGCATTAAAGAATTATACGTTGGTTCAGTTTAAAGTGTTATGAGGGACAATTTCATAACAAACCTACTGTGCATTAAAGAATTATACGTTCGTTCAGTTACTGTGATTAAAGGTGTTATGAGGGACAATTTCATAACAAACCTACTGCGGGCAAATACTGCACATTAAATGTGGTTTTAAGACGAATACCATGTTAGGCTAATTGCGATCACTATAGTAACATTAGAAGCAGTTAGAACAGTATTTCCCCAGTTATTTTGCGAAACAACCGTCACAGCACATAGTCAACCAGCTACGGTCAACTGCTAATCGTATAGTGATTGCAAATATTGCATTGTTAATATATCATGCTATTATGAAGGGAAAAACACTCTGCTCTTGAACTTTTTATACTTGTACTATAGGCCCTTGGCCTTCAGCTCTGAATACTGATTAATTGATTGATTGATTGATTGATTGATTGAAAAGAATGATACACTTATAGATGACCTCTAAGAAAACACATACTTGTTTTGGTGAGTTCCCTCAACTTGATATTTCTTCCCTTCTTTTGGATATTACATTGATGAAACTAAAATATATTTGACTCGTTGGTACGGCAAAATCTATGAAAAGGTTTGTGCTTACTTTTGAATAGCTTTTTAAGATTATATATACTGTACTTTACGCTACATACAGATTCATGAAAGTGTTCTTGGTATAATCAGTGAAGTCTATTATTCTATGAATGGACAATGCCTTTAAGAAAGTGGTCAAATGTAACGTATGTTATATTCGGGATTAAACTTTCTCAGTAAATTACAGATTTAAGTACTCTTGGTACTTAAGTTGAGTCCCACCCGGGATTCGAAACCACACTCTCAGAGTCAGAAACTAATCGCCAGCACACACAGTCAGCCATTTTACCCCATCAGCCATTTTTCAACAAAGTAGAAGTCGGACAATTGGTAGTTTAGATCGCGTACTTTGTGTACCCCTCTGACAAGTGTAAATTGGCACGGCTTCCACGTCTGAGAGCTATGAATACACTATGCCAAATGGAAAATGGTCAAATGTAACTGAGAAAGTGTAATCACAAATATAACATCTGTTATTCTCGTTGAATTGGAATTTTATCATACATCAAATATACTCAAGAAATTCTCCACTGTCTGCTGAGTCGTGCGGGCTTTTCAAGGTAATGCAATTCTAAGTCTAATGAAGACTTTACTTCAAACTTTACTGTCCCGAAATCCTACATCTATCACATACACTACTGTTACATTACAGGGGTCGAGCAATCGATCGAATATCGATGATCGAAGGCAATACATCGATGACACTTGCCTCTCTGTAAGCCCTGACAATGTTACTATCAGCTGATACCGGGTTATGCGTACGGATGAGGTTTCGTCCTTGCGTTAAGTAAAGCAAGATAATTTATTATCTGGGGAGATAAAGGTACCTCCATGTTATTACCTTTATCTATAGTGCTATCTGAATGTGTTTTAAATATCGCAATGTTATTACAACATCACAGATGTCCTGCTTAGAAGCCCCGGGATCGGCTTTCTTTCCTTCTCGATCTCAGAAAAGACAGTCCCCTTTATAAAACATAATTGCGGAAGTTCACTCGTTAAGTTTTCTCCTGGAAGATTATTTTAAGCTGAATGTCCTCATATATGTGTATAACAAAATATGTGCTTTTGCGTGTAACAATGAATGGGTGGATAGGTAATATTTTTGGCCGCTTTTAATAACAATGTATCAACGTCAACGGTATTTTCGGCGTGACGAGCGAACCCTTTAACCTTTCGACTACCCATCCGCCCCTCGCCTGAATTGCTGATACCACATGAATGAATTTTCAAATAGGTTTCTTTCATGATTTCAAACGTTTAGTGTGAACGAAAGGTCTGTATATATTTCAACCTTTCCGAAGGGTACCCTCTCAGCTGAAGCAGCCATTGTAGCTACGTGTGATCAAATCCTTGTTAGATACCTTTGTCGCTCTACTCATTGTGTACAAATACCACGAACATACTGATTTTGAACTTCCGGACGTTTTAATACAAGTAAGTAGAACATGTGATGACCAATAAGGATATGGAATCATTAGAATAATTCAGATCCGAACTGTCACATTCTCACAAGATTTTATAATCTGTGAATGCCTAGCTAGATATGAATGTGAACGTCCGTGCACTTTATCTCTTAATACGATATCAAAATATTGACAGTAGCCTAGAAAACCATACATTGTACACGATATGTTGACTTGTCAGGTATGGCTCAATGTTAACATGGTCCGAGGTATCATCCGACGTTTCAGTTGTATTACCGTATGTTTTAAGTCTGTACTTCAGGTGAATGAACCTACAATCTGTATAAAAAGAATTCATGTGGTTCAAAACATTGGCTCGGACACTGCAGATAGATACCCAATTCTGAGGATTTTTAATGACTTCGATAGTCTACAGGCTAAGGCAATGGGTATCCCTTCTCACAAAGAAAACTACATTTTTCAAGGGACATTAAAGGGCTGGTTTCAAAAACAAAATGGTTATCAAATAAGTGAGTGAGTGAGTTGGGTTCTACGCCGCTTTTAGCAATTTTCCAGCAATATCACGGCGGGGAACACCAAAAATGGGCTTCACACATTGTACCCATGTGGGACATCGAACCCGGGTCTTCGGCGTGACGAGCGAACGCTTTAACCAATAGTCTACCCACCGCCCCTATTAAATAAGTAAACAAATACTCACCCCCTCCGTTTTTATAGCACAGGTAAGGAAATCTCCAAACATTGGCCAAGTCGACAGCATAGCCGATAATTGACAATAAAAAATCCATCTTTTTTCCCCACGTTTCCCGAGGCTCGCCGCTCTCAGGGTCATACTCCATCTTCTTATCACCATCCGGTTGTAACGACTTCTCCGGGGGTGGGATGTCGTCCCCAACGGCCTCCTTGTACGTTGGCAGGGTGGGGTCATGCCCCTCCTCGGGACTATGTCCCCCCCTCATATTGGTCCATGTCCTTCCCTTCCAGAGGGGGTCCGGCTGGTACGGGTACTGAAGTGTCGTTGGGTGTGTTTTGCATACTGTCTTCCTCGTCCGGAGAGCTTACTTCCCGGATGTCAAGACCTTCTTCGTCCTACAAGAGACGCCATTACTTGTCAGAATAACGTTATATCGAAAGTGTATCGTAAAACTATTTGATTACACCAACCGTCAAAAATCAATCGATTGGTGACCAACCTTTAATTCTGCCGTGTGAATATGAACATTAAATCACCCCCTGACACTTTCGTTAACCGCTATGTCAAAGTAAACAGAGCGTCCTGTAGCAATTGTCACCGATATCAAGAAATCCATGTCAATATTGATTCGAAACGTTTTTTTCACACGATAATGTTTTAGCGCCATGTTTTTATCGTACAATATGGTATTCAAAGGAACGGACGGTTGTGTCAGCCAGTCGCATTCAATCAGTCAGGGACCAAGAGCGGACTTACATCCCCCTAATTCCACAGCAAACATTGATACGGCGCTGTATTAAAGAAGATTTACTAATCACCTTACTCCGCTTTTGTATTTCTGCTAGATTCACAAGAAATCTGGGGCTTGGTTCCTTAATGATGAAACGACAGGAATATTAATGACTCCCAACATTTAAACCATTTTCATTAACAGACAAAGTACCAAATAATACGCCTTGATACATACACAGAGCTTACACATGACTGTAAATAGAATTGTAGGTTGAACATTAATACCAATAGACCGAACCTAGTACTAGTATTGGAAACAGTGCATACTGAAAACAACAGTGAAAATTATGACATGTTCAAATGATGGACAACTTGCCTTACTATCTTTTTCCCTCCTAAGTTTGACTTTTGACATGATCCTATACATAATATCTAAAATGACTGAAACAGAACAATATTGCACATTTCACTACAACAATGAGCCAATGACCGTCCTGTTAACCTCTAAACCTTTTGACATTTGTACATTTAGTACGCATTTAGTTTAGTTATGAGTATAACATGCGAATAAGTTAAATGAACAAAATCTAATTCACAGGAATATAAACCAGGTCCTGCATAATTGTTTTAAAAGAGTTTACAAATAATTTCATCATGTTTTCCCCCACGGACCAATATGAGCCCGAAATAAACGAGACGGATTTGACGGTGGGCATATTAGCTGGTTCAGAAGGCTAGTTTAATCAGGTATATGAGTATATAAGACCATAATCTAGTAATGCTGACTATTAAGATTTAAGGGATTTTTTTCAGAATTACTGTTCCCGTATTGTTTCTTTCACAACTTATATACTGCCACTATGAGTGATGTAAATGTTGTTTACATTACCAGTGCGAGGCTACTCTAGAGTTACTTCTCCTGCCACTATGCTATACCTTCATGGCGTCTCCTACCACCACCTACTGCCCACAGTAAAATGTGATGTTCTGGTTCTTCTACAAACTTCACCTGCTGCTACTACGACTGCTACCACTTATGTCACTACTACTGCTACTTACTACTGTACTACTACTACTACTACTACTACTACTACTACTACTACTACTACTACTACTACCACCACAACTACTACTTCTTTTTGTAGAGAGTGAGTGAGTGAGTTTAGTTTTACGCCGCACTCAGCAATATTCCAGCTATATGGCGGCGGTCTGTAAATAATCGAGTCTGAACCTGACAATCCAGTGATCAGCAGCATGAGCATCGATCTGCGCAATTGGGAACCGATGACACAGTTCAACCAAGTCGGCGAGCCTGACCACCCGATCTCGTTAGTCGCCCCTTACGACAAGCTTGGGTTACTGAAAGTTCATTCTAACCCGGGTCCTTTTTATAAGAAGTTCCTGACTATAAACTAATTTAATGGATATAGCTTAACCTGAAACAACGGATATCTTAACACTTCCTGATTCCTGATATCTATAACGAATCTATTTCCTTTGTTTGGATTAGAAATTGGAGGAGTTTATCTGGAACTTGGAGAACGGTGAACGCTCCGAGGTAGAACTATTGCTATGCTGACCGATACAGCACGGAACAAAATCTACAGTTTTACGACCTCTATGTCTCTACTAACGACAAACACACAATGAAGTTTTTGTCATGCGACAAATGTAATGCAATAGCGTTTAGGGGTTTAGTTACGTGAACACGTTAATGAGCAACATTGATAACAATTGATATCAAGTGTAACTTGAGCCAGAAGCTCTGATACAGGGTTACCTCCGGAGTGTCAGCTCAGAGAGTCGGTTCCACGTTATCCACATAAGATCAATCACTGACAGTCAAGCTCTACCGAACCATAGTATCCTCCCCGGCGTGAACGTGTTTGGAGGAACACCAGCGGCATAGTTTTGTACGCTCTTTGAAATACCTGTCCCTCTTGAAGAAAGTCACCAACTATAAGTTTCTGGGTGGAATCGTTCCTGAGATGTTCACTGAATGTCACTCTGAGACACCTGGTGTCCTAAAACACAGATTAGGCACTATATTATCCATACGTGTAACATCCTTCCAGAGGTCTTAAGAATGGCTAAAGAACCAGAGAAGACCAATGTCCACGCTGACCAATGACGCTTCTGCACTCGCGAGCCACTGATTCCAAACAGAATTTCGCCTTCGTATGAGTTTGTTTTAATTCCTTAAACCATCCAAAATGTATTCTCCATCCCGCCACTTGTCAGTAATCAAACATCTTCTAGTATTGTCCAGAAATTGACTTTTATTGAAAAGGTTCCCGACCCCGAACCTTCCAAAACGGCTAAATTGGTTGTTTTGTGTGGACCCATTTGCTGGAAACGGTATCTGATCGACAACAAGTCATCCGTGAAAATATCAACTTCTCTCCATGCAGTGTCCACAGTAGTAATAACTTTACTATTGAATGGGACCCTTTGCCCGGAGCTGGCGCTTGGTGCCGCCAACCGCACTCAAGCAATTGAACTTATGCCGGATTTCAATTACAGCAAGTGATCCGTTAGCCGGTGGCCGTCTGAGGTCCAGGCCCGCCCTGATTGGAGAAATTTCCATATAAAGAGGCCCTTCATTGCCATTGTTATTATAATAGCATTTCATTTCCATCTGTGAGACGTTTGCTTTTTTCGCTTCGTAAAACCTGTAGGAATGTTTGTGATTGTGCTTTTCGATTTTCATATGACTTTTCCCCTTCTGACGGAATCTGAATGAGAACTTTTTAGGCTCATTCAGGGTGTGTACTGCTAACATTCTTGCAAAGATACCATCGCGTGGCTTTGATCTGTCTATGTGGTAATTTGGCAATGCAAAAGTGTCTATTTTATTCCTGAATTAATAAAGTTTATAATCTAAAACCCAAAGTATATGAGTAATGATGTTATTCGTTTTGAATTGCATTATTGTTTTCATTGACACAGAGTTCATTTCCAAATGTCATTCACAGATTAAAAACAATTACAAGAAACGTGTTTCATATGTTAAACATCTCGTAATTGAATTTGAAGACAAAACTGAAAAGTTCAAAGTCCTTGACAATAAACGTTTACGATCGTTAAAGTGATTTCCGGCGTGAAAAAGCAGCAGTATTGTTAAGTACACAGTCGCCTTTTCTCGCAGGTGGACGAAAAGATGGGGAGTAAATATTCGAAAATATTAATGTCAAAACCATACAACCTGACTGCATGTGAAGATGTCCTTATCATTCTTCTGTGTTTAAAACTACCTCTTAAATCGCTTCAAGAGAGAACGCGGAGTGAAAACTGACGGTGAGAGGGATTAGATTGCTGACTATGCCTCCGCACAAAGAATCCTTAATGCTGGCCAAGAAGAGCGTCAAAATTTAGTCACCACTTTAGAAGTACTTGTGTAGTGCACGTATTGAGAGAAGGTATAATGGCATTCCGCTTCTTAAAGACCATTCTATTTGCTTGTTGGCGTGCGAAGCTCAGGTACCGAACGGCTGAGCACGATTCAGCCATATTCGATAATTTCCGTCGGCTGTTTGAATAAGCTTCTTGCCAATTAGTGGAGCCAGTTGACCGCTGAACATAACGTCAAATATGGTTCGAATATGAAGCTTGTGATAGCCTGTTGACCCGAAGTACAAGGGAATCTGTGTTGCTGCTGTAGCTATGTTGATGGGGAACATGGAGGTATTGATGTTTGTTAAGGGACAAGGGGTTTAAACAATCGTGTCATTCTTATGCAATGGGTGCATGTTTACGCCTGTGTCTTGCAAACGTTGTGGAGACATTTGTCTTATACAAGTGACTTTAACGCAACTTTTAGTTTTATTCAGGCAAATCACAGCCTGTAACGGTTGTGCTAGTGACCATATATGAACAAGGCGCGGAGATTCGACCCCAGGCTCGCTGACTTGGTTGACACATGTCATCGCATCCCATTGCGTAGATCGATGTTCATGCTGTTGATCACAGGATTGTCTGGTCCAAACATGATTATTTACAGACTGCCGCCATATAGCTGGAATATTGCTGAGTGCGGCGTAAAACTAAACTCACTCACTCACTATTCCATCCTCGATAGAAGCGATATGGGTGCAAAACTGTTATAAACGCTTGTGAACAACATTTTCAAAAACATTACAAATGTTGTATGGAATGGGTTTTTATGTTTGTGGTATTCAAATTTTACAATTACGCTTTACTATAGGTACCTTTGTATTATCTATGTGGTGTATAGTTACTTTTATCTGTTAAATCTGTTAAACCAATATTATTGTCATACAGGCTTTCGCACCGCATACAAGATGACAACACGAGAAGGTTTACAACATCATTAAAAGAGCGCGTTAAATACAATTACAAGAAAAGTGTTTCACATGTTAAACACCTCGTAATTGAATTTGAAGACAAAACTGAAAAGTTCAAAGTCCTTGACAATAAACGTTTACGATCTTTAAAGTAATTCCCGGCGTGAAAAAGCAGTAGTATTGTTAAATACACGGTCGCCTTTTACACACACGAGAAGGTTTACAACACCATTAAAAGAGCGCGTTTGGTTGAGAACGGTATAATATTTTGTAACTGAAACATCGCTATTGCAGTGTAATTGTTATCCATAAAAATGTTATCTTTAGTACAGTGAATAGACGTGAATAGACGGACAATA